GATTTGCTACTCCCAGCTCCCAGGAGCCGTTCAGCCCCAGCTTTCAGCGCTGCTTAGGATTACAGGGAGGGTTCTGGGCAGCAAGGAAATCAAGGTATTCGCCAAGCCTAATATAAGAATACATTTTATTTGTATGCAAACTTATTAAAATATATCGTACATTGATAAGTACAAATACTAAGTGTTTTAATCAGTGGTAAAGGCATTTTATAAATTCATAGCATATGGAAAAATAAAACTGCATTATAAACTACATGAAAGATTTTAGTTGTCACAAAAAATAACATAAAAGATGGGAAACTAGTCAAAAAAGAAGCTCGTTTGGTAGCGGATATACACTTAGCACCATGTTTCAAGACTTACATGTCAAATAATAACCTTTGAGTGGGGCCTTAAAAAAAAAAAACCCTAAAGAGACAAATCCACAAAATTTATTTGGAAATTAATGACAGCATGTGAAAATCCCAGGATACTCCTAAATACGACCTTCGCCGTTAATGGGATTTGCCTTTGATCTCTAACAGAGATTACAGGCAACTTGACAACAGGCTACAAGAGCTGCTCCCTACCAGCAGGCAAAGCCCACTCCTCTCGGCATCGCGTCTTCCTGCGGTTCATTCCAAGAGAAACAACAAAAGCCACCCGGCTGCCCAGGGTTTGTTTGGCTAGGCCTAATTACCACTTCAGCACTATCAGGACTGGCAGTATTCTTCAAAGCTTCATTTTGACTTAAATCGATTTATCTCAGCCCCAGGGTCGGGGATTAACCTTGTGCTCAGCTCCGCTCTCGTCCCTGCAGGATGTCCGTTACCATCTGCTACAAGGAAGGGGCAGCTTTTGCTTCCAAAGGGCTTTTTTTAATGTCAAGCAGCTGCTGGCTCGCCACAGAATTCAATCTCTATTTAAACAACTTTTATTATTTAAAAATATTCAACAACCAAGGAATCAGAATATATTTCTTTTCATTTTCAGCAAATCAAATACAATTAAGCATGGTAAATGCTCCCTTTTGTTTTTTTTTATAGGCATGAGTGAATTAGTTGTTGGGAGCTCATCCGTGTTCTGATATTCTAATTGCAACACTTAAGAGCTATCCCAGTACACAATGTAATCAGCTTATTAATAACTGAAGGTCAAAAATTAGCTTCATTGGGAGTTTTGCTACTGCGCACAGTTCAAAACTGGAGCATCTCATCAAAAAACCCCAACTACATTAATAAATATTTGATTACAGAATAAAATGGTATCGTTTCTGTTCTATATCAATGTAACGATCCCCCATTATTTGTGATGAAAAGCTGAAAATAAATTTATATTCATTTTCAAATTAGTTTATGGCTTCTTAACAACATTTGACATCCTTATACCACTGATTTCAATGAGAGCTTTGCTATTAATTACAATACTTATCTATTTTCACTACAGATTAAATGATATCGCAAAAAATCAGGGCTCATTTCAGTAAGCAGTGAAAACATCCTGCTAGACTAAATGATATATAATTTGTACACACGTAGAACCAGCATTTTACCAGAAGTATTATAGACATTGATCTGAAAATTGGTGATAACTACTTGAAAGACACATGACTATTAGACACAGATTTTTTTTTTAAATGCTGGAATTATATCATCCGCTAGTATCCAGGAATCAACACAATGAAACCCAGGTCAGGCAATATATGATTAAAAGACCGCAGATCCATGAATTAAAATACGTTTAGAGAGAGATCAGTAAAATACAAAATATCGGCTTTATGTACACCAGAATTGCGGCCTGACTGATTCTTCTCAGACTAACCTGTTTGGGGGTTGACTATTTTCTTTTTTTTTTTTCCCCCTTCATTTAATGCTGTAGTGCTTTTATTACAAAACTATTTAAACGAGGTTAACAAGGGCAGGGGGAGAATAGGAGGTATATGAAGAGTTTTAACAAACCCTTCTAGGTTATAATTTGAAAGTTGCTTAGAGCTTTCTTACACAGGCATTATTTCTGACAAGCTTTCGGATTAAACAAATAGAAAACCAACTATTTGTTATCTACCAAGGTATGATACCACAACGAGCAGAAGAGTGAACCTCTTCATTGTAAATCTTCTCGTTCAACGAAGAGTTAAATTTTCTAGGTGTTCTACCTAGATGAAATGAAAATCTGAACACAACAGAAAAAGAAAGGCATGGAAAAAGGAAGATTGTGTAACATTAATAACACAGCTTTTCAGCGGAAGCCTAAAAATGATATCATGGAAATTCCTATAGTAACCTTTAATCCAGTTATTTGCATTATTCAAAAATATGCAATTTTCCCTAAAAAATTCGTGAGTAAATTAAGCACATGGCGTAGCGCATCCACTACAGTCTGCAAATGGGTGCAGAAATCCTCATAG